GAATATCATCTTTTTATAAAAACAATAATGATTGCACATTTCACATAGAGCTTTGCAGAGTTTAAATGTCGATGCTTTTTTTCAGAATAGGCAATGGTGTGTAGCTATTTTTATTGTCAAGTAGTTCCACTCGCACTCCTCGGTGGTAACGAACGCCAGTACTTGTTATCGCAGCGATAAAGTATTAAGAAAAGCCTTTATAATTACCTCGTGAAAAAAGATCTGCTTCTACGTTGTGGTAGCCAGTTTCACAAGCATATGTAATTAGAGCAACTGTACGGCTACCTTACACGTGTAGTCGGGTAACATCCGGCTAGATTAGATAACAGATTACTAGGGAACAGAGAGTATTAGATAAGTCTACCTTATATGTCTTTTCAATCTGATGTTCATTATTTAACTCCTAGACGGTTTGTTTGGCATTTCACTGCAATAGGCCTATATTGTGTATTTTGTTTCTACAGAGGGCCCAATACAAATTACTTTATTGTATATTGGCCTACCCTCTTTAAATAAAGTGTTAAATAAAAAATTAAAAAATCTTGCACACAGTGATAAAGTAATCCATATTGCGAGTTTTTAATGGTTTATCAATATTTTCTGTCAACAACAAAAGTGTCAACAAATTTAAAATTGAGGTAATGTAGGTCCAAGCGTGATTTTCTGACATTAAAAAAAATACATTGTTGGCGGTCGGGATATTTCTAAGTCTTTGTGTGATTTGGGACTTAGCACTGCAAGCCCGGTGTAGAAGAAGTACCGTATAATAGTCAATCTTGACGGCCTGACGATAAAAAAGGTCAGTGACGCATTGTATGTTCTTTATGTATGTGAGTCCCCATTAACAGATGCTTTGTACATCACTTCATCGAACGAATACTGTTATTCGGTGGCGGCGACACGGGGGGGGGGGCAAAAGTTGGGGGAAGCGTCGCCCCTCCAAAATCAAGCTGAAATTCTTCGTGTCAGCAAAATTTCCCCTCAAAATGCAGGAAATAGCGTTTCAACATTTTTAAGAGGGTACATACCCCCCGGACTTCCTAGCAAATCCATCCATGCTAAATTTCGTGTCACCGCCCCTGCTATTATTGCACCATAGTACATAGTACGATAAATCAAACAATACCATCTAAACTAAACAGATGTCCCTACCGAACGTTTCTCCGATTTTGATTTGTAATATAATATCCCCCGTTATTAGTGCCAATTTGAAATGGTCTTTGCCAAAATTTGGACGCTGAAAGACTAGCATATACACTACATGCCGACGTTGTACATTTAATCACTTGCAAATGAAAACAAAGATGGCTTGGTTTCGCTGTCGGTTATTTCATAATGATAATGAAAAAACAGCTGTTTACGGCCCGACCTGATTTCAGATCGGTAAAATAATGTAATAGGTAGGATGTAACTGTAGCTCCCTGGTTTCGCGTTAACACCACGACGAACGAAATAACCGAAAGCGAAACCAAGCGAGCTACAGAACTGCAGCTAGCCGCGAGGTTGTTTCCAGCTTTCCAGAAGGCCCCAACTATCAAAGCTCATAGATTACAATATAGGATAGCAACTTACCTGGTGTCTTGGCAAAATGTCATATACTTCACTACCTTGAGATCGCTAAGACACTCTCAAAATGTCTCTCACTAATAATTTTACGTGTCGTTTCCCACGCTAGATTTCACCGCCCATTTTATACGAATTTGAAAATATTAGGGTTGAGTATTGTTGCCCATGCTTTTGTGTCTATAACCATATGTCGGTAAAATTGGTCATCTGAATGTTATATTTAAACAAACAATGTTTAAAACCACAGCTTTTAAAGAAGCAGCTCAAAAATGCTCACAACTTAATAATCTTCCATGATCTCACAATTTTAATCGTTGTTGTTGTTATTATTGAATCGGAGTATCTCTGGGATCGGTACTTGAATACTCCTACAAGTTATTTTACCCAGTCGCATAGTTACGCAATATATATCAACTTTTCATTGGAGGTTACATTAACAACGTCAATTATATATATCAATGAAGAATTCTTAAAAAGAATAGTTTTCAATAATGTCTGTATCAGTTACTGAAAGCATGAATTAGGCCAAGGTAGCATGATGTATTGGTTATCATAGTGCCGTGATCTCTCATTTATTACCAATCACGTTCACGCGTATGCTTATAAAATATGCATTAGCAATCTGTCAGAACGGCCGTGATATTATTATTTCTCTAATAAAAGAATTGTTCCAGGTGATAAAAACGTCAAGCGTACACGAAAAGAAGTTGCCATTATTCTGTAATTACACTCAGGTCGACTATGTTTATATCAATGTCAAATGGCAATGTTCTGTTGACCTACATCACTGCATGCTTTGGTGTGTTTTGCACTCTGAACAATAAAGTGCATTATCCCACTTGCGAGTATTTGTTCAATATTCATAGTAAAGGTAATGATTCTGTCTGTAGGAGCGGATTTGGAAGAGATCAATTGGCCTATTCTCTGACCAA